TTTTTTTTTGCACATGGATATTTAGCTGTCTCAGCATCATTTGTTCAAAAGACCACACTTTCTCTGCATATTAATTTGATACCTTTTTAAAAAACCAATTTTTCCCCATTGATCTATATCAGCGGTTGCCAACCTTCCAGTGGTCCACGGTTATTTTCTATGACATTTCTTCATGACCATGGACAATTGCCCAAGAAAGAAGGGTTTCCTAAGTATTATGATTTTTTCTGAAAATAAATGATAGAATTGTTCTCCTAATTAAAAGATAACCTGTAAGAACTTATTTCCAGAAATGGGAGAGATAGTCAACATCAAAACAATTATTAACTATGAATCATCATTTTTTAAAGACACAGTATATCCTCTGGTCATATGCTAGTTCAAGCTAGTTTGGAGAAGAGGCCAGAGCCATTGTCACTAACTTCCCTCCATTGATGCTACTTACATTGAAATGCATCTCTGAAGACAGAGCATGTTATTGATGAAACAAAGATGATGAATTCAAACTACATTTTAACACATTTTGAATATTTTAACAAGGCTTTCATCTGTGTCACACAAAACTTTTAGTAGCAAGCAACTCCACACGGGCACGTATTTTCAGTAGCAGGGAATGGGCTCAACTGGAACTGGCATGATCTTTTCCATGCTGGCCTCCAGATTTGTCGGCCGGCCTGACAGCAAGCCTGTTCTGGGGACACTATATTTACATTTACTGGTAAAGAAAAAGCAGTTAGTCTGACAACTAAAATAGTCTGCTTTGAATTGCAGTTTAAAACTACCAATGCCAAGGAGTGTAAATGGAGGAACAAAGGGGACAACAATGACGCCATCATGTGTATCAATGGAGCAAAGCAGAATCAGGTGCATAATATTTTGAACACTTAGAAATTTCCATATTTGGATAACTTTTTAAAAAGAGAGCCTCTTTCTTTCACTGGCAGCGATGTGGCCCCAGATACAGCTTCATGTCCTCTGAATTAAGCTGTGACTAAGGATTTCTGGTGCTTCGGCTGCTGATGCGGCCTGACTTGGCTGCAAAGGTGGAGAAACCCCATGTTCGCAGGTCCAGCAAATGGGTAATGGCATTTTCCACTCAACATAATTTTCAGTTGAGTCATCCAGGTTGTTGAGTATTAATAGTTTATTCTGTTGCTGAGAAGTATTCCATAGTATGAGTATATCACAGTTTAATCACTCATTCATTGAAGAGAAACTGGGTTGTATCCATTCTTTGGCTGTTATGAACAGAACTAGTACAAACATTCACTGTATGAACAAAGTCTTCACTTCTCTGGTAGAAATGTCCAAGACTGCAGTTTCCAGGTTATATGGTAATTGCATGCTTTGTTTTTAAAGAACCTGACAAACTGTTTTTTAGAATAGCTACATCATTTCACATCTGCATCAGTATTATACAGTGATATAGCTTCTCCACATCCTCATTAGCATTTGGTGTTACCTATCTTTTATTTCAGCTATGATGATAGGTTTACAGTGATATCTCATCAAGGCTCTAATTTGCATTTCCCCAATGGCTAATGATATTGAACATCTTTTCATGTGCTCATTTGCCATTTATATATCTTCTTCGGTGAAATGTCTCTCCATGTCTTTACCCATGCTCTACTTTGACGGTTCAATTTTTTTTTTCTGTTGAGTTCGAGAGTTCTTTATATATTCTAGATACTAGTGCTCTATCAGATATGTGGTTTATAAATATTTTCTCCCAATCTGTACCTTGTCTTTTCATCCTTTTAACAGCACACCTTACAGATCAAAGGTTTTTAATTTCAATGAAGTTCAGTTTATCAATTTTTCCTTTTATGGATTGTACTCTTGATGTCAATAGTAAGAACTCTTTGCCTAGTCCAAGATCACAAAGATTTTTCCCCCTATGTTTTCTTCTCAAAGTTTTATCATTTTACATTTAAGTTTGTGATGCATTTAAATTTTTCTTCTTCTTTTGCTTCCAACTTGCTCCTTTGTAAAAAAAAAAAAATCAGTTGGGAATATTTGTGTGGTTCTGAGACATCACTATCTTTTTATTTGAGATTTTTATCCCATTCATATTTATTCTGATAACTAATGTGTTTATTATTGCTTTTTAAAGAGCTTTATTAAGATGTAATTAAAACCATCAAGTTCACCACTTTTATTTTTTTTATTTATTTTTTTAAATATATTTCTTTATTGATTTCAGAGAGGAAGGAAGAGGGAGAGAGAGATAGAAACATCAATGATGAGAGAGAATCATTGATTGGTATTGCTTTTTAAAGAGCTTTATTGAGATGTAATTAAAACCATCAAGTTCACCACTTTTAAAGTATAGTTCAATGTTTTTAGAATCTAAGCAGGTTGGGCAGCTATTACCACATCTAGTTTTAGAACATCTTCATCTCCCTGAGAAGATACTTCATATCCATTAGCAATCACTCCCCATGTCCTCAACCTCCACCCCAGCTGCAGGCAACTACTGATCTACTTTCTCTCTATTTAGATTTGCCTCTCTGGACATTCCATATACATGGAATCATACAATATGTGGTCTTTCATAACTGACTTCTTTCACTTAGTGTGTTGTTTTCAAGGTTCATCCACATTGTAACATGTGTCAATATTTAATTCCTTTTTATTAACAAATAATTAATCTGGATAAACAAAATTATAATATAAAGTTCATACACACCATTCATTAAAGGAATTTAAATGTTACATTAGAAAATATCCACTTAATACACTAGAAGGAAATAAAGAAGGCATATAGGAAAATGGACTTGTATCAAGGATATATAAAGAATTCTTATAACTCAATAACTCAATAAAAAAAATTTTAAATGGACACATAATTTTGTCCCTTATTCTACATTTTGTTTATACAGTCATTAGTTGATGGACATTTGGGTTGTTTCCTCTGCTTTGATATATCCAGGAGCAAATTGCAGGGTCTCTACATGATAACTCTATGGTTAATTTCTCAGAAATTGACAAACTATTTTTCAAAGCAGTGTACCATGTTATAATCCCACCAGCAATGTATAAAGGTGTCAACTTCTGCACATGCTCATTGTAAGGGCATAAAAAAAAGCTTTTCTTTTTCTTTGCTGTGGCTTTCCACAATTTATGAAAAGCACATGGTAATTAAACCCCAAGATTGTTAGCTCCTCTGATTCAAACAGTCCCTCTGTTCAAGCTGCAAGACAAGATAAGCTACTCTAAAGGCTACATTCTTGCCTTCCCCCTCTCCCTGCTGTTTTTACAACTCAGGGATAATTCACATCAAGGAGTTTTTACTTAATAGAAAGTTCCCTTCTCCCCTCCCGTTAAAACAAGTCTCTTCTGAACTCTTCATAACTTTTGCTCTAAGCATGTTTTATAGGCTTGGGAAAAATACTAATAACACACCTCCCTGGGGCCAGCAGGCGTGGCTCAGTGGTTGAGTGTGACCTATGAACCAGGACGCCAAGGTTTGATTCCCGGTCAGGGCACATGCCTAGTGGGGGTTGTGCAGGAGGCAGCCAATCAATGATTTGCTCTCATCATTGATGTTTCTATCTCTTACTCCCTCACCCTTCTTCTCTGAAATATATATATAAAATAAAAAGGACACCTCCCTGGGACATCTGCAGGACTGTCTCCTAAAAAGCAAACAAACTAACTTTTCAAGACAACAGCCCTGATGTCTGCTCAACTTCAGCCCCAAATCCTCCTCCCTTCCTTATCACCTAGCAACCACAGCCATTACTTTTTTAAAGGGGAAGCTGACTTTGTTTCTTGCCTTGTATTGATTAACAATGCACCGTCCTTTTCCTCCCTTGGAAAGTAAAATAAACTCCCTCTCTCTGCATCTATCTCTTCTCTCAGTTGTGAATTTTTTCACTGCCCGCATCATAGGCCAAACCCTAACACTCACCAATATTTGTTATTATCTGCCTCTTAAGTCCTAGTGGCAATAAAGTGGTGTATTGTAATTTGATTTACATTTCCCTAATGACTAATTATGTTGAGCATCTTTGCATGGGCTTATAAGCCATTTGTATATCATTTTTGTACACATGTCTATTCAAATTCTTTGACTCACATTTGCTCCCAAGTCTTTCCCGCCTCATTTAAAAACATTGGCTTATGATGCCATGGAGTGCTCTTCCTGTTCTATCTTCTTGAGAAGACAAAGTCTCAGTGCATTCAATTTTAGGCTTATTCTTATCAATGGAACTGCACCAGCAAGGAATTAGGAGAGTAGGTCATGGCCCTGGGCTCTCCAGGGCGCCTTCCCAGAACATCTTAGCCAGTTTCTGAAAAATATAGATTTCTAGGCTTCATTACAGGGGATATGTGTCATTTGGTTATTTCATAAAGAAGAGATATGATAATTTCTTGTGCTAAACAGAGTGATACTGCCAATAAGAAGTCGTAACAACATGAGGAAATCTGCCAAAATGCATTACTTGGGATTCCTTTCCCAGCGCACTAATCACCTGCCTGCACCTGGAGCCATATCTTTTCTCACTGCTCAAGAATCATTCATTTGGGGGAAGGTCTCCAACTCCTCTCCGGGATCCCCAATATATCATTCTGAGAATTATTTCATTCCCATTTGTCTGTGTCCTAAACTCATGACTCACAGCTTAGGCCTGGGCTGAGTCATGGAAAAGAGAAACATATGGACACTTAGCAACACATGGTGAGTCTCATTCCAGCCAATTGGAGCAGAGAGCTGCAGTCCTGAAAATTAGATGATACACACAAGAAAGAAACACAAGTGTTGATTTGAAGAAAAGATTAGAGTGAAGATACATCATAGAAAGGAAGAATGCATTCTATCTCACTTTGCAAGAAAAAATGATTATAATCACCTAATTGAAAAATTTCTTGCCTATTAAGATAAACAATAACAAGGAAAAAATTGCTTCAACAGGGTATAAAAGAGGGCCTGAGCAAGGAGATTCAGGAAACTCACTCTCCTGGAAACTCACCCAGAACCTCCACCCTCTGACACTATGGTCAACTCTTGTGGTTCCACCTGCTCTGACCAGGGCTGTGGCCAAGGCTGCTGTCAGGAGACCTGCTGCCGCCCCAGCTGCTGCCAGACCACCTGCTGCCGCCCCAGCTGCTGTGGCTCCAGCTGCTGCCGCCCCTCTTGCTGTGGCTCCAGCTGCTGTGGCTCCAGCTGCTGCCGGCCCTCCTGCTGCCCCTGCTGCTGCCTCCGCCCAGTCTGTGGCCAGGTCTCCTGCCCCACCAACTGCTATCGCCCCACCTGTGTCATCTCCACCTGCCCCCGCCCCATGTGCTGTGCCATCCCTGACTGCTGAGCACCTTCCCTGAACCCACTCTCTCTCCTGCATCTTGCTCATCAAAGAAGCAGACCCTGTGCACCTCAGAGATGCCTTAGGACTGCCCATTCCCTTCAACTCTGTGTCCATATCCTGGCCTCAGGCCAAACTCTCTCTTTAGCTGACTTTTCTCTGATGTGGATCCAGAGTATGAAATTAGGTGGCATTTATAATAAGCGATTATTATATTTATGCACATTCTGTATCTGATCTTTTGATTTCTGGGTTCCTGGTCATCCTGTCCAAAATATGGAAATCCCTGCAGGGCCTGTAGGGCCACTGATGTCACAACCTCAGATCTGAACACCTTAGAGGGCCCTATCTTGTATTTCCTTTAAGAGGGATGATTCAGTATCTTTTTGTTGCTTCTGAATAAAGCTCTATTTTCCTGGCTTAGAAATACATTGTTCTTGTGTCTTGTGTCTCTTCTGTGCCACTGAAGGCACAGAACTCCTGATAGACCAGAGATGGCAAATGAGAATTGGTTGTACCTTCAGTTGGTTTCAGCATAAACATTTTTTGGTTGTTATTCCAGCTGTTGCAGGCCCAGCTGCTGTGTGTCCAATTGCTGCCGTCCAGTCTGCTGCCAGACCACCTGCTGTCGCCCAGTCTGTTGTGGATCCTCTTCTTGTTGTTGAACTACATTTTTCACCACCAGCCCTGAATCAACTACCAGTACATCAATCTTGTTCTCATTTCCTTTATCCACAGCACCCAGCCCTTTTCTAATCTGTTACTATGTTTATTAACCCCTGCCACCAAGCAACTATTTAAAAAGTAACAACTTAAACTAAATACCACACAAAACCTCCAAGCAGACATTCTGTCAAATGACCAAATTTCTACTACTTCATGGGTAGGCTTCACCTTCACACTGAATGTGTGCAGTAGAGCAACCATGTCTCAATAAATACTTTTTCTCCTAGCATCAAAACATTTGTGGCCTTTAATTATTTTTTAGTGTTGATTATGAATTGGAGATGAGTTTGGATATTTGTTATGAGCACAAAAAAGCTGATTTTGCATATATCAATCAAAGCCTATTTATATAAATAAAAGGCTAATATGCTAAGTGTCTGTCCGGGTAATGACATCACGTAGCAATGCCCGGCTTCCTCTCCCTCGAGACAGGCCATTGAACAATAAAGGGCACTGCGGACCCAATGCCCACAACACTCAGCTTCCCCCAAGTGGGACACAGGCCTTACCACCACCCTGGAATGACACCCCACCAAATTGCAGCCGACACTGCTGAGACCCATTGGCGCAAAATGCGCCCACAGCCCAGCCCAGCCCAGAAACAATGGCTGTAGGTGCCGGGTAATGATGTCACGTAACAATGCTCGGCTTCCTCTCCCTAGCGACAACAAGCCTCCTTGCAGTCCAGGAACACGACTTGCTTTATAGCCAGGTGGAAACATTTTACACTTTAACCAAATGTCTGTGATGTGTTTTCCCGTGCCTCATCTCATTTGATCCTCACAGAAGTCCTA